TTTCCGGCGAGGTTTCCCCTTGTGAGTGGTGCAGGACGGAGGTCCTGACAAGGACAGCTGTCTAGTCGTTCGGATGGGACCAAAAACCGAGGACCCGCGTATAGATTGACGTGCACGTAAAAAAATCCCCTGGCACTTGAAATTCGATACAAGAGTAGACCATAGTGCCGCTGCCTGGGCAAAATTTCCCACATAGCCCACTCTATGGCGTATGCCCGTCTTCATTAGCACGGTCGGAGTAGAACGTTAAACCCCATTTCATTTCATTTCTTTTCTTTCAGCTGTATTAAATCATGTCTATATAAAGAGTTATGTGTGTTATATGATTCATATTTTCTTCATGTCTATATAAGGAGTTATGTGTGTTATATAAATTCATATTTCCTTCCCTAATATGGGTGTATCAATGCCTAGTTTTATATATTGGGGAGGACCAGGTGGAGGGAAATTTGGATTTGACGTTTTCTCATAATTTTGACAGGAACATTATGGCGAGAATCAACGTTTAAGTCCAAAAGCGTGTTTTTTTTTGTATTTTCTTTTCGTTACTAAAATTCCATTTAAACAAATAAGTGAGAGGCTGCGAGCTTCCCTCGGCAATCTGGGGTACGCCACTCAAACTTTTCACAACTACACAAATTTCCAAATATGGCAAAACAAATATGCAAGCAAACGAAAACCGTATACACGGATTAAAAAGCACAAGGCGTGACATGTAAAAAGACACCAAGGTTGTTCATATTGATAATATAACAATGAGAATCATCGGTGATTCATTTCATATAATACGAACATATTATATTGGGAACCCTGATGTGTTATTAAGAGTCGGCTATATATTTCGATTTAATCACCGAACCTAATGACACCATCCAGTTTATAAAGTGGGTCAAACTTATGGTGGACATTATCGCACGTAATGCTATGTAAATAGGGGAATTTCATATGGACATATTAATATGGTAAAAACTGTATCTTCTATAGCGTTCCCAAGGTATTTAATTCCAGAGCAACATAAAAAAAAACCACAACTGAATAGCCCTAGTAAAAAACCTACATTCACATCTACACGACTGAATGTTATAATATTATTTGAATCTCACCGAAAACACAAGAGATGGGTTTAGCTTAAAATATCGTAATTACCATCAAGCCCCATCCTTAACAATCTTGAAAGTGAAAACCTGACGAAACTAAACATTTTGACTCGGAATATACCAGTTATATCGCGACTTAATATTGTACTACCCATTTACATGCAATGGCAAATACACTAAGGTTGCTTAGTATAAACAGGGTTGTAATCATATTTAGGCATCAAATAGTTTATTATAACAAACCTTGTAACACATTTTGTAGAATGTTTGTTTTTGAAATTAATGGTGGCTTTATATTGTATTAATTAATATCTTTGGCAAGTTATTAGATTCACATATATGTAGTATGTACTTAAATCAACTTAGGGAGTGAATGACATATTGTTATATCAAAAAGAGTCATAATGTGCTAAACATCCAATTCTAGGTTGATAACATATCTCATGGGAAGTTTCTCCAGTAAATTTCCACTTTCCAAATAATGGTGGGTTTCGACGTCATTTTAACCAATTATTTACATCGTATTTGACCAATGAGATAATTGAAGGTCCAAAGCCCAAAGCTACAAAACTATCATACTTGTGAGAATTGGCTAGACGGCAGTTTGGTTTCAGAAGGAAAAAGACGTAGCAGTTTCTATCAGCAGACCAGCGAGTCTGGCTGGCTGGATGAGGTTTAAGAGAATAACTTTATTCTATTATGCATTGTACCATATGTAAGCAGCTATGATATATAAAATGTAAAAACGAACTGTTGCATTGTTATTCCTGGTAAGACAAACGTATTAAGGAAACGGTACGAAGTAAATACACAACAACGTGAAGGGGAAGTAAAGACAGCTAGAGACAAATTCCAGACGTTCACAAGGCTACTAAGATATGTAGTAAGAAAGGATGCATTGGTCGTACGTAGGATGTGGCGACCGGTTTGAGAAGTTCCGCTCTCCACGTCTGACAGAAGGCCAAAGGTGCTACAATCAAGCGCATTTATTTATTGGTGCAGCCAGTAACACTTAACGGAAAGTCACGCTTAAGGACATTGGTTATAAATCATAATCTTGCTGGCATTATGTAATATTTTACCAAATATGTTTGTCAGTCTTTAGCTGTACGGGAAGGGAGAGGGGCGGAGGGTGACATAAATGAAATAGGCGTAATTTTTAGTAATGCTCATTAAAATCTGTCTACATGTAACTATGAAAATGCTCCACTCCAAATTCTTTAAAAACTGTAGCCTCTATCGCGTTCAGTCAATGTTTTTGAATGGGGTGTTATAGGGCAAGTCCAGAACGGGAGGTTACTTATCCCCTCATGACCAATCTGAAACACACCAAATCTGGAAGAGAAAAGAACAAATCGTAGTGCAAAATTATTTATTTCAAGATTTATGAAGGTGGCTGTTCTTCAAGCAACACTTGTCATAGGTATCTTAGCTTTTGCAAATTCCAATGCTGCACATCAATAAAAGATAGAAAATGGTGATCATGTACCACACCCTTGTAAACCCAATTTTATATGGAAAGGCGTGGGACATTTGAAAATGGGAGGAGGAGGCAATCGAAATAGTTTTGCAGAGGCGTTTTATATTCCAAATACATCTTTGATATAATAGAATATGATAGTTGATCTGAAATATATGAGGTTATTTGAAAATAACATTGTACTGATTTATCTGAAATTTTGTAGAGTTTTATGTTAAATTTAAATCTAAAGAGAAAACTGCACTTAATAGCATTTAACATTTATCTTTATGGGGCATTAGCATCCTTTTACTTTGGACTCGAAAATGCACGAAAGTTGGTGGTGTATATTGTATACAAAGTCCAGCTTAGACATGGGCAAAATGCCTCTCCCCCATCGGTTTAGGGGTGCCGTGCTTCATGGCAATAAGAGAAAATAAAACCTATTAAATTCCAGATTAAAGTTTCACTCATCGGTCTCACCGCGCGATGGGTGGAGACTGGGTGAGTCTGCGACCCCTCAACTTTCTCGGTGATTGGTCGAAACCTGTGGCGTATGAGATCGTGATCGCTCGTATATGCTAATTATCAGCAGCTTTTGATAGACCCTCGCCAGTCATTATATGTATTTCCGCTCCTATGTGCCATTCGGAACTGAATAGATTTCCTATTTGACCAGGTATTATGTCATTGTTTCTTGTATTGCAGGCCGCTTAATTGTGTGTTACTCATGGGTGCCATTCAAAATGGCATGCGTGGTAGTAGGAAGGATATTAAATACTCTTATCGTACCAATCACAGAGAACCGTAATTATTGAGCCATAGCCTTTCTCACTGAGCCACTGCGGCTCCGGAAATTTGCTGTGAAGCAATTGGACCGCGAGAATATGAGCTCTATCATTCTTTCCTGGACAGTGGCACTTCTTCATCGTATTCCAAATGTGAAGGTTCTTTTATGTAAACGGTTTCCTCCCACTGCTAAAGACCCCTACGGCAAGCGAATTATTGAAATAAAATGAACCATATTATTATGATAGTCCCAAAATGACCTAGTTTGTGTCGAGTGGATGTTAAACCTCATTTGTCTTTCTCTTTTATGTACACACCATAGGCTTGTCCCATCTCCACAGGGACAGTTTTGCCAGGCCCTCCGTCCTTGTACTACCGACAGGAAGAAACCAAGTCGCAAAATCTCTGGGAACTTTCTTGACCATCACCAGGATCAGTGTACATAATCCTAATATTGAGCATGGTAGCTTCTATTATTGTTCTGGAAAGGCGACAACCCGACTTCGTGCTGTTTTTTCTCGGTATCATGTCGTGGCGTCGACCTTCATAAGGCTCAAACCAGACAATAGGACATTTCTGCACGACATTTCAACATTTATAAGGTGTTTACGGGTAAAATATCGCGTTGTCGAGATGTCGGGTTAAAATGTGATGTCGTGGTGTCGGGTTGTCGCCTTATGAAGGTCGACATCACGACGTGATACTAATCAGTCACCATACACGGGTGACGACATAATGGCAACACAATGATATAATATGTCGTTTTACGCGTTCACAGGTCTTACATGTCAATGGTAACCCCTCGGCGTGGACGTGTTCGAAATTACGGAGAAAAAGCTATGATTTACGATTGCCGTTTACAAAATAATCACGTTCAGAAAGATAGAATATAAACGCGGAGATTAACATTACAATTTCCTGATATTAGTTATTGTTTAAGATTAGAAGGAACAATTAAATTTCACCGGAATTTTTTTATGACCAAATAAACAATCCATGCCAGAATGATTTTCTTTTCCTCGAGATTTGTGTTGTGTTTTGTGCTAATACCACTGTGTTGGTGACCCTTTTATTGGCCTTTCTTCCGGACGTTTTTTGTTTTATTTCCAGTAGTCCTCGGTTTCTGAAATTTAGGTCGTAACAACTGCTGCTTTATTCGGCTGTATGACGTCTTCTGAACTGGGCAAGATATGCGTGTTATTCCTAGAAATTCTGATATCACTTCTTATTTTCTGCAACGGCGTAGCTACGCTATATAGGTCACCAATGGTATATATCAATGACCTATAGTTAGATGGAGCCTAAAAGAGAAATCTTATGATCCAAATAGAGTTTCGGATAATCAGATTTTTGTGTTGATGCTTTCTTCGAAATTATCATCATAGTTTATACTTTAACTTGGATGAAAGGTATAGTCCAACGAATTGGCGAAAATTAATATTGAAGTCAATGGGGCAATAAATTGTGCTTCGTAATCAAACATTTGTATAATAAGAAAGAGGGGTTAATATTACTCCCATCTATAAAAGCATATACAAGCATTCAGTTAAATTGTTTACCAAGTACAAACCTATATAGAGTAGGCTATTTGGACATATATGAATAATATATCAAATAAATCTGATGACATTTAAAATAGAAATGACGACAGTTACCCGTTATTTGTATAAAAAGGGAGCGAATAGCGGAGTACAATACACTTGAAAAGCATTTTCTTACATCTGTACTAGAACGCTTGTATATAAACTTGAATGTGTGAGTACTGTGACCAGCGACACTACAAAAGTAACGCTTATTCAGATACGGGTAAGTTAGAGTTTTGAATAGATTCCCCGAGCTATAGTCTACCTTTCATGGATTACAAATCATAATTTCGCTGCTATCAAATACTCTTTTCGCATATTATTTTTTTTTATGGAATTAGTCCCTATTTCTTCGTTGTGGACGATGCCATAGTTCTGAAAGGTTGTAAGTGCCATTTATGACCCAAATAGCTCTTTTTGCATAGGATCATCAATGGATGTTGTCGTGATTGAAACGGCTTTTTCAAACGCTATTTACAGTAATAAAAACGAATTTAAAACCAGACGAAATATAAAACTATAACAGCAGACGAAAAACGAATTTAAAACCAGATTGTTAATAACATAAATATTTCTTTCAAGATTCATCATCATGAAGCTCGCAGTGCTTCGTGCAACACTTGTCATCGGTATCTTAGCTTATGCAAATGCCTATGCTGGATACCAAGAAAAGATACCAAATGGTGATCATGTGCCACATCCTTGTAAACCCAATTTTATATGGAGAGGCGTGGGGCATTTGAAAATGGGAGGCGGAGGCGATCGAAATAGTTTTGGAGAGGCGTTTGCAGCTGCTGGCCACACGGTAAGAATTATAACAATATTATGTTAAATGAAATGTTATACTTCAAATTATTAGATATTGCTATAAATGCATCATTTATCTTATTTTTTTTTGGGGGGGGGGCATGAGTAAGGAACATGGGCTAAAAATTCATTTCAGTTGATTGCACCGATATGATAAAAACAACGTATGTCACAATACAGCATGTGTAATGTACGGGTATTCCTACTCATTCAAGACTAACTGATAAAACTTTTCATTTAAGGATCCACATAGCTAAATATTTTATTTTGTGGAACTATTGTATTTAAACGTATGGTGTGTGTGCGTGGGGGGGGGGGCGTGTGCGGGGACATGCATGCAAGTGAGAAAGAACCCACGAGGTTGGACAGGCGACCGTACTCCTTGTCACGTACAACCGGGGAATTGAAACCACGCCAGTTGACTCAATGACAGACCTCATGATACCTGCTAATTATTCGGACATCCAACCCCGAATAGGAATGTATTATGTTATTTCAGTGTATACTTATTTCAGAATGGTGCATGTAATGTACAGAGGATTGTTTTTATGTTATTTCACAGTAGAATTATATTAGAAAGACTGAACATGATGTATGTAATGTATAGAGGAATGTATTATGTTATTGCAGTGGACTGAAACATTATGTCGGGCTGATTCCGATGGAGATGGTAAAACTAACGGCGAAGAACTGGGTGATCCACAATGTATTTGGAAACCAGACACTGTTCCTGATGAGGTAGCGAGCGTCACACATCCCGGTGTTTGTGATCCTTTTGGAAGTACCGAGTGCAAGGATAAGAATTCCTGGGTTAACTGTGATAGCGAAGAATTTAAATGCCCTTCTATACACGAAGAAGGTAAAGTTGCACCAAAAACTATTAAAAGTATTTTATTTCATATCTCTTTCTGACATTACAACTCAGGATGGTATTGTACCACAGCGACAAGAAGAACGCAACGTCCAGCATCTACACAAGACAATCGTGACATCACAAGAATTGTGTAGGTGAGATTCCTGTACTCACGAAATAAAATATTGTGATTAAATTTAAGAAAGCGTAATATCTTTTTCAGGTGTACAAAAGATGGATTTACGATTTCCGTTGACCAATGTTCCCGATAAAGAAACGACCTATATGTGTATGGGTTTTGAATTACCTAGTGACGAAGAGTACCATTTGATTGCGACTACACCAATCATCAATGAAACTCGAGTAATGCACCACATCGGTCTTATTGCCTGTGATGCGACTGGTATGTTTAATATTATTTTGACGTTTAGAAAGAAAATTAGTCCCCAACGTAATCCATAGCAATCCACTGTAAGATTGTTTATTGGGCACAAAAGAGTTTACGCCAACTATCATTAATATGCACCTGTGGATAACCATGCCTATACATTTGCCATATTTATTTTGTTTAGTGATCGTTATGCTTAATAAGTCAATTATACAATTCGAATTTTATTTTTCTGTAACGGGTTACATAACCTCTTAGTGGACTCACGGTTACATATTTCAATTTAGCTAAGGCTATGACCAAGCCAGAAGAATGTCTGATGGGTTTAACCGGTTGTACAAAACAAATAGGTTTATGGACTTTGGGCTTACCAGGAGAATGCCTCTATAAGGATGCAGGTTTCAGAATAGGCTTAAATGGCATGAAAAGGGGTGTACTTCAGGTAAATTCAATTCGAAAATCTATAACGAAATGCTATTAACTGGAAATCCATAGCCAATCCTTCATATCTGACTCTCATAAGTGACCATGTTAACCATTGGTCATCAAATGCTGTTATACCAGATTGGTGTGTTATTTATTAACGTATTATATGAAAATTAAGTAACCGTATTGTGTGTCTATTTCTACATAAATCCAAACTAAGAGAGTTTTAGCTATTGTCTACTCACTAACTATTTTACATAAAAGTTATGTTGATTCTCTAGTTTCATTGGACCAACCCAGAAAGAAGGGCTGATCTATGGGATTCATCTGGTATGACTATCTACTACACGAAGAATTTGCGAAAATATAATGCTGGTGCCTGGTCCACAGGTCAATTGTATCTTGAAATTCCACCATTGATGCCTAAAGTTGTGCAGCAATCAACTTGTTCTTCGCGTTGCACAAAGAAAACATTTAAAGAATCTATATTCTTAACCACTGGACTGAATCATATGCACTACCTCGGTAAGATGGCTTTCCATATAATTAACCATTTGACAAAATTGAACACTATGTAATGATTCCAGATTATCTTTTTAAAGTATTCATCTTACTGATTTTGGGGGACCTAAGACCCCGTCAATTCATGTAAAGTCGACTTTGATATGGCGTCACAAGTGAAAGATGGCCGTGATCACGTCTGACGCCTGTACTTGTTGTTCTGCATAGACCTTCACCCTGCAGTATTCCATGGCACACGGATGCCACACAGTAAGGATATAGCAGAAAGATCAAGCGTATTCTTTACACTATGGATTTTTTTCTGTTAGTACACTATTATATTTTAACATTATTAGGTGTATCCCAGTATGTCAAATTAACAAGGGCAGATGGAACGGAAGTGATGTTAACTAATGATGAAAAATATAGCTATGATACACCAGTCCTGTACCAGTAAGATTTATTTTTTGTAGCTAATATAATTTGTTACATAAAAAATCATTGAACACCACAATGTAGCCCTGTATATTCAATCCAAAATAAATAAAATTAGGCCTGGGAGTTCAATGAGCTAACACATATTGGTGTATAGTCGACTTAACATTTTTTTAAATGTCGACAAAGCGTTCATTTGATTGGGTGGGCGTATGGCGCTTGTCCAAAACTAAGACACCCCCGGTGACATTAGTCTCTTTAAAGAATGGACGAAATATAATGTCACTTATACTATTATGGTAGCAATGCAGGCGAAACTAATTATACACAATAAAACAAATATACTCAGATAATATACTGATTCCCAAATACAGCCTCGGGTATTTCAGAACTCAGTAATAAAATGTTGTAGGTGTATATCATTCCATGGCCATTGACACCATAAATGATTTATTTTTTCTCTAGATATGAGACTCCAATAGAAGTTAAACCAGGTGATAGCTTAGAAACAGTTTGTACCTATAGATCTATATCTAGAAAGAAGACCGCTCTATATGGAGAGGGCTCCTTTGATGAAATGTGTTTTGGCATTTTTACCTATTTCCCAGCCGAAGCACTAACATACCCTATGTGTGCAACATTAAAGGATTTAGATGTGTGTGATTCTCTTTTGGATATGAAATGTGATTATCAGGCTCTTGGAAACTTTTCTCACCCAGAAACAAGAGAGTTGATCGATAAGGTTAGTATCGTCTTTAGGGCTATATACAAAACATGACACAAACAGCTTCGAAGACTTAGCTGCTCTTGGGCTACTGTTTCGCAGAATTGTAGCTATGTAGCTTGGGTTTCTATTTTTCTATGGAAAAGCGCCTCGGGCGGACAAGAAATGTGGGTACAGTCATTTTAATGACCCCAGAATGCGAATGTTTGTAATTCCTCTAAAGAGTGTATATTATATGTATTGGTGCAAAAGAACGCTTGGTGTAAAATGCTAGGTTTAAATCAACCTCTCTAGCTACAGTAACAGTTTAACTTTAAACAAAACCAATAACCACCGAATGATAAACACAATTAAGAGATTATTATTTTATTTTAGGTGATGTCAAAATGTTCTGTTGAAAATCATTGTCTTCATGGATGTAGAGATGTTGTTCAAGACATCATTGCTAACCATGGTTGTTTTAAGAATGGCTGGGCTGACAGCATGTATTCTTATTTAAGCTCAGATGCGTTTCTTTCCATAGTGGGCGCAAATGATACAATCGAAGCTTTGCGTTTCGTCACTGCCATGAAATCGTGTGATTGTGCCACAGAGATCCCACTCGTATACGTTGCTCCAAATTCTAACACGAATGTATGTAGTAGAAATCTAAGTTATCCCACTTTTGTATTCGCTTGCTTGTTAGTGGGGATATCGTTGGCCCGAAAAAGTGTCCAATAAATCTTGTTTGAATTGAAGGAGCAGTTCCAGATTTTACAAAGTGTCTTTTGATATAAATAATCAGACACTAAAATATGAAAGTTTGAAATCCAAATAAAAAAAAAAGGTTTTAAATATACAAATTAAACGCCAAAATGTGAAGGTTTCAATAATATTGAGTCGTTTCAAAATAATCGCTAGATTTGCTAAATGAGGTACAATTTGGGGATCCATTGACATCCCCCCGTCCCCACACGAACACTGAAAGATTGCCATTCTTCGAAATTCACACAGCTTCAGATATTGTTAAACAAGACCAGAATTACACAGTTTTATTCCTTTAAATATATGGAACTTTAAATGATTATTTATTTACCCTGATTATTATGCCAAGACAATCATAGATATAATAACAAGATGTCTGTACTTAAAATGACTACAATCGATTCATTGATTTAGGTCAAAATAATGGATTGAATTGGGTTGACTTTGTGTTATTTCGATTAGTGAAAATTCAAAGATATTAAATCTATGTTTTCTAATTTTATTTAATTTTTGGCTTTCTGTTTAGGCTGTGGAAAAACAATATTTTATATCTTATTTATATGGGTAAAAGTTTCAAACAAAACAGACACATTGCCACATCACAAATTCAGTTTTGACCCAAATCCAAGAGATCTAGCCATTTTAGTATTAAGAATTTAATTTTTTATCGAACGTGTAAGATGCTATGTAGTCTATTGGTTTTACACAACAATGAATGGGTAATTCAAATAAAGTAATAATAAATCAAGAATTATTTAAAAGTGTTTAAGTTTCTATTTTCTGCCAGAATTTAGCCACTGCGATCAGTGGAATAGATAGATATTCGATATAATTACGTTATCTGTGTACCAAGAGTAGCAAAACACCATTTACGATGTTATTCGATATTCGTAGAAAATGTCCTCATTTTTCAACTCATCGAATAACAAAACATACCGCTGCATAGGCCCATTTTATTATTTGTCTTGATCAAATATTTATAGTCTATAAAATAAGCATTTCAGCTCTATATAACACAATAAGAGACGAGTGGGCTTATTCTTACAATATAGGACACACGATTTGAAATGGGACAAGGTTATGTTTTAAAACGACTAAGGTCAATATTAGTCAGAGTCACATGACACATGATTCATACAATGAATAATGATATGACAAAAACTAACAATACCTTACCTTACCCCCAATGGTGTAAATAAAATAGACTTCTTCTACGTCTTCCTGTGGTTCTACGTCCGCTTCCACCTCGTGTGATATCGCAGACAACTGTTTCAAAAGAATCTTAGTCCCCAAAAAACGTCAGTAATGATTGCAAGGTCAAGATTAGAGTGAAGGAGGATGCGGAAGGGGCGGGAAAATACAAGAAAGTATACTATACACCAAAATCCACGAATAATTATGCCTGTATATGAACAAAATCTGTTAAAAATTGTAGCCTGTAGACAAGTACGACAATCAATAATTACCATCCTGTTTCAAAATGAATGATCATGCGAAATCTGGACAAAATCTTAAGAATTATAGTTTGAAAGGTGTTTACTGACAACATATATACACGAAAACATCGACGTGCCCGGGGTCCGCGAGAGAGGGGCACAGCTGCGACACTTGTCTAGGGCCCGGAGCCTAGAGGGGCCCGGAGGTATTTTTTTTTTTTTTTTTAATGTGTTGGTATAAATTAATATAAAAAATAATGCACTGTTACTTGATCGTAAAGTAGAAGAAAACCGGCACGTCCTCGTTCCGCTTGAGGCTCTCGTTGTCGTCTTGGTATGCGGGCTCACTTCCGTTTGAATCCAGTTCAACATGATTTAATAAAGATAAACGACTAGTGATTTAAATCTCAGTGTCTGTGATTGAGCAAAGAGACCTCCAGTTACCCCAGATATAGGTCAAAATGACGCGTGAAAGATTTTTGAGCCCCGGGCTTGAAAGCACCCCTGTTGGTTAGACAAGCATCAGTAAGTCGGTTTCATCCTCTCTTCGAAAGTAAAGATCATGCCAAATTTGAACAAATACATTAAGAGTCGTGGCCTGTAGAGTGTTTACAGATCCTTGGGAGTCGAACATGCCCCAATGTAAATAGGTATCACCCTGTTATTGAAATATTTGTGGTACTCGAAAGAAAATCATTGTATATCGATTCACCAAAAAGGGGGGGGGGGGGCTCGCCGGATCAAGTGGAGTCTGGTTGATTTTCATCATAAAGGGGTGTGTGTCAAGTAGCTCAGTGTAGTCTGGGACTTTTTTGCCTTTAAGAGAGATGTTTAGGTAGTGCGGTGCATTATGGTGTCTGTAACAGCGACCATGGTATATCCCGGTTAAATATCAGACTATTGCCGAAACCTGGCAATGTTATTTCAAACACACTTCTTAGAATATACATGTAGACCATAACGTCAGAAAAAAAATTATGCAAAAGGGGGCGAAACCTAACTTAACATCGGAAACTTTTCTTGAAAAGGTGTTTCTTAGCAAAATTTATATACGTTTTGGCTGATTTAATTTTCTCCGGTAGGTTGTTCCATATAAGTAAGCAACATTTTAAGCAAGGGCCGTTGGTTAAATGTTGATATCTTTACACAATGGAGTTTATGTAGTGCGTATCTGGGTCGTTTATATTTGTGTAGTAATTGACACAGAAATGGACCGAAGAGGAGTCCGTCAGTATGGTAGACCCAGCGGCTCCCGAAGAAGTTAATGTTCTCGCGTAGTTCGGAGGCCTTTTTATACGCCCACATGGAAATGTGGACGTATATTGCGTCGCCCCGTCCGTCCGCCCGTCTGTCGGTTCCTCGGTCCTTCCGTCCGTCTGTCGGTTCCTCGGTCCTTCCGTCCGTCTGTCGTCCACATCTTCTTGTGAACGCTCTAACACCAAAAGTTATCATCCGATTGTTTTAAAATTGTTGTTGTTGGCATTAGTGATATGAAGAATCCTATTTAATTTCAATAATTTCTGTTTATTACGTCTAGAGTTATGGCCCTTGTTTTACTTTGTTGGACCTTGTGAACGCTCTAACGCCAAAAGTTATCATCCGATCTTTGTGAAATTCATATGCATTATTTAAATTTGTGAATCGAAGAAGCCTGTTGAATTTCCGCTCATTACATCTAGAGTTACGGCCCTTGTTCCACTTAGTTGGACCTTGTGAACGCTCTAACGCCAAAAGTTATCCAATTTTTGTGAAATTTATATGCATTATTTAAATTAGTGAAACGAAGAAGCCTATTGAATTTCAGCAATTTCCGTTTATTATGTCTAGAGTTATGGCCCTTGTTTCACTTTATTGAACCTTGTGAACACTCTAACGCCAAACGTTATTATCCGACCTTTGTGACATTCACATGCATTATTTGAATTAGTGAAACGAAGAAGCCTATTGAATTTCCGCAATTTTCCTTAATTACTTCTAGAGTTATGACCCTTGTTTCACTTTGTTGCCCCCTGTGAACGCTCTAACATCTAAAGTTATCTGCCGGTCTGTATGAAATTTATATGTGTCATTTAAATTAGTAAAAAAAAAAAAGAATCCTGTCGAATTTCAGCAATTTATTATTTCTATAGTTATGGCCCCTGTTCACTTTGTTGCACCTTGTGAATGCTCTAACATCAAAAGTTATCTGTCGATCTGTATGAGATTTATATGCGTCATTTAGATTAGATAATTACTTCTAGAGTTATAGCCCTTGTTTCACTTTGTTCAACCTTGTTAATGCTCGATTGATATGTATGAAATTTATATGCATCATTTAAATTTGTGAAACTAAGGTCTGTTGAATTTCAGCAATTTATGTCAATATTTCTAGAGTTATGGCCCTTGTTTTACTTTGTGAACCTTGTGAACTTTCGAATGACAAAATTTTTTGTATATTACTTCCAGAGTTAAGGCCCTTGTATAAAATTGTCTTGTAAATTATTCTAATTACCTACAAATGAATAAATATGCGTCAAACCTTATCAACCGCTCGGATGATTTAGCTGCTGTGGGCGTATGTTTCGTTGCCTGGCGACCTATCTTTAGTTTTGAGTTTACAAATTTGATGAATTGGTAACATATTGCCAAACGCTAAATTTGTGCATGGGCTAGAAACACCAGGTTATACTGAAAAAAGTACCATTTACAATCAGTTTCCCAAAATAATTCTAGCGAGATAAACCCATCCGAGTGAGGGAAATACACACGAGTTAAGGCTCGCGATCACCAGTTTATCCTGTAACTAGGTATTAGTTCGTAGAAACATTTGTAGATGTATCGAAGAGTTTTGTATTTCTGTCTTGATTTAATGGATAGCCAATGGATTTTCTTGATAAATAGAGAATTTTCTAAAAGTCCTTTTTGATATCAAAAAATATCAACACAAGTTGATAAAGTAAAAAAAGGGACGAGTAGGAGATTTTATTTTTCATTCAGTCCTTTCTTACATGCACAAATAAATAAATATAATTCTTTGCTATGGATTTTACGTTTACTGAACCTGATTACATTACGGCGTAGTGATACATCATTTTTTGACAGCCATTCAACCATTGCAATGTCCTTTATATTGACCCAATGTTTCCACCAAGGTCAATTAAATAAAAATAGTTAGTTTTTTTTAATAAAAAAGAAGTTACTTTGAATTGTTCTTTAAAAATAAAAAAGTAGTTCCTTTTTAATTGACCAATCAAATTCATTATGAAATATTACGAAACTTATCACAAAAGCGATATATGTAGAATGTGTTGTTGGATGATAATACAAGATAACTTGAATTTAAATTTTCAATTCTTGAGGATCTGTTTAATATTAGGCTGTATTAGTTTTGAGTGTGGAATAATGAAGATCATTCCTTTTGTCTTGTCTGATTTGTTTCATTAGTCACTGAGAAATCGCAACACTAAAAATCAAAGACGTCATTATAATTTACCAATTGACGATAGGATGGACATATTCAAATATCGTGTTTTAAACGTGGTTTATCTAACAGGTCTAATATATAGCCAGTAATTGGCTATTTTAACATGACTACGAATCTAGATTTTTACTTGCCGTTTGCTTAATTAATACCAAGAACAACAACTTTTGGTTTTATTTTATTTACCGCACGGAGACCTAATTCTGTTCAAAACTAATTAGATCTTTTTTCTTGGTAAAAGTAATGTTGCCTCTTTAAGCTAGAATAACAAACGTTACATTGCAATACAAAAATATTTATTTTGAGATTTGCGCTGTACCGTATCTACTTTATTTCTATATGATACCGTCACACTATGATGTAGGCCTTTGTCACTTATATAAACACGCGGGGTGACTTGGGTACTTTTAAACACACATTTGGAAAACGTACCATAACATATATGTAGGTTAGTTAAGAGTTTTATAAAGAGTTGGCCATTCTTGCTATACTAATTCAAAAATAGATGATAAAAAAGATATGTTGAAAATTCAGTCAAATTACCTTATCAAATGAACAGAATTGTCACTGTTGGAAGTTTGGACTAGAAATAGGCATCATATGTGTCTGCACCGTCTATAAGAATTAGCGATCGTTTGATTGACAGACGATATCTCCACCCACATATTCCCGATTATCAATTAATATGCCCAATGGCTATGGTAGCCTCGCTTGGCAGGCCTTTCATCACCAGTTTCCGGTAGTGACATCAGCGACTAACGACAAACGTTAGCTTGGTCCGCCATTTATTGATTTTTAATTTTAAATGGACGACTGTTTAAATCCAAACTGTATCCAAGCCATCCGTGGGTCTACAGAGTTGATT